GTGCCAGGATTTTATGTGGATTGTATCACTTAGTTTTCACAATCAATCTATGAAATAGGTGCATTATTATGTATATTTTACAGATGGAATGTTATGAAGAATAAAACTCCACTTATGTAAAATTATGTGTGTGTGTGCAAACAGAGATGTCTGAAAGGATAATAAAATGTGGACAACAGCTATTTTGGTTATGGTACTTCAACAGATTTACCTTTTCCTTTTAGGTATTGTTTAAAATTTTTACATGACTGTGCATCAATTTTATAAACAGAAAGAACAAAACTATATTTGAACATATAGGGAAACATTAACATGATGAATAATTAATTGTTTTAAATAAGGGTCAACACAGTAAGTAAATAAGTGTTAGTTTATTCTTTTTTAAAACAAAAAAAGATAAGGCTCACTTTAGTCACTTCTTCAATGGAATTAGAAATGCTACTATTATGGCAAAATAAAAATTAAAAATATGGGACTCTAGGAAAAAATTAAATCTGAAAACTACATTTACATATTATATGCTTATAATATCTAGAAAATCCAAAGAAATAAAATTGTGAATAGGTAAGAAATGTATTTAACATATGTCATAGGTTATAACGTAAATCAATAAAACCAAATGCATTGTTTTGTATTTTATCATAAAAAATATACTACCAAACATGCATCAACAGGGGAATGGATAATCAGTTAAGTATAATAAGCCCTTAATATCCATAGTTTAAGAAGTATTTCATTCTTAAAAAGAATATGTGTATTGATATTCAAAGATACCCAAGATTTGTAAGTGAAAAAAGCACATTTCAGAATGACACCTATGGCATTATCCTACATATATTCACAACAATAAGAAGGTAGGTGTATATGTATATCGAGAGAAAGATAGGTGGACATACAAAACCAGAAGTAACAATACTTACTTCTAAGGAAGGGAATAAGACTGGAGGAAGTAGGAGACTTCCATTTTCAACTCTATATACTAACTATAAACTAACTATATATAAAACTATTGTTTGAATTTTTTGCATAATTAAAGGCAAATAAATAACCCAAAATTTCACATTGCTATAAAAAATTAAATGTGTAAGTGCTAATCTAATGTAGGACCACATAAATTTCTTTAAGGATTATGATGTAAAACTTTAATGGATAAAATAAGGAATGATATGAATAGGTGGAGAATACATCTTACAACTCTTTGAGAGGATTCAAAATAGTAAAGATGACATTATTTCCCAAGCTAAAGTATAGCTTTTAACACAATATACAACAAAAGATTCTTAGTAGGTATCTTTTAGAACTTGATTAATAGTGAAATTTATCTCAAACAGGCAAGACTGCCACACACAAGATTTCTGAAGGTAACAGGTGGGACCTCTTGTTTTCAGCTGTCAGGTTACCTCCTTCCCAGCCTGGCTCACTCCCTGAGGTCCTCACCTCTCCTGCTCTGGGTGTCCAGTCTCTGTCTACACCTTTACTGTAACTGTCCCCATGGCTGGTTTTCTCACTTGATGCCTTCTCCACTAGTCTGTACACTCCTTGAGGGCACAGACTATTTTCTCTGTACCCTAGCACATGACTACACAGACACTCAATAATGCTTGTTGAATAAAGCAAAGCAAAATATAACCTGTATAGTTCTGTGTTTAAAACAGAAAAACCGATTAATAGAATTCAATAGGAATTTTCCAAAATGGGTTAAAATATTAGAAAAACTCAACATCTAAGAAACAAGAAATGGTTTACAATAAAAATCACTAATAAATTTTGGAAAGGTGGACATAATTAAAGAAAAATTATCTTAGATTAATAGGGCATCTGATTGATAGGCTGTAACAAATTTCAAATGGATCAAAGACTTTAACAATTTTTTAAACCCTATTTTTAAAAGTTATGAAAGCAAGATAAGAAGAAATCTTCCCATTTGCAGCAACATAGATGGACCTAGAGAGTATTATGCTCAGTGAAATAACCCAGGCAGAGAAAGACAAGTACCAAAATGATTTCACTCATTTGTGGAGCATAAAAACAAAGCAAAACAGAAGGAACAAAATAGCAGTAGACTCACAGACCCCGAGAAGGGACTAGTGGTTACCAAAGGGGAGGTGTTGGGAGGGTTGGGGGAAGGGGGAAGGTGACTAAGGGGCACAATAATATGCAATCACAGTATAGGTTGGTTATAGGGGCAGTAGTACAGCACAGAGAATTAATGATTCTGTAACATCTCACTACGTTGATGGACAGTGACCGTACTGGAGGGGGTGAGGATTTGATAATATGGGTAAATACTGAACCACTGTGTTGTATATTTGAAACCAACAGAAGATTGTATTTAAATGATACTCCATTTAAACAAAAAAGAAAAAGAAAAGTAAGAACTTTAACCCAGGAATGAACAGGATGAAATAGGAATGCAAGAACTTGTATGACTATCAAATAGCATCAGAAGCAAGGTGGAAATATACAAATAAATAACAATTTAAAACATTTGTACAATGTGTAAAAACATAAATATCAAAAGGAAAGCAACAAACCATAAAAACAAACGACCAACCTTGCTATATGCAACATAAATTATACAAATTCCCAGTTTCCATTTGATAAATGGTTAAAACTAGATGAGGAACAGGCAATAAATTATTTTACACAGAAAAAGAATACAGACTCCACAGCCATGAAAGGTAGTCAAAGTCAAGTGAAATATCTTTTAAGTTTTTTACATAATTTTAAGCCCTTTAAAATATGAAGCTAATAAAATATTAAGCTAGTAAAAATATGCTTATTGCTGACAGTGATACAGTATGTTTTAATCTTTTTGGAAAACAATTTGGCAAAAACTGTTCATGCATTCTAAGTAAATACATTCTGGATAATAAGCCTTAAGTCAGGAGCTGGTGTGAACACAGAAAAACTGAAAGCACACAAATATATAGAAAGGAATAATTAAGATATTATACAACAGAATAACTATAGTTGCTATTCCAAGTGGTAGGTGAAACTATGTAAGCAGAGTAACAGAAAAAGGTACATAGAAAATGTAGAACACAAAAAATATATATACAAATATCTGTATTGTGAAAGTGTGGGAAATGTGGAAAGAGAAAAATCATGTATTGGGTTCTTCTTTTCCTTTAAAGTTAAAAGTTCTGGCCATGACCATGGTGTGGATCTTAAGCCTGTTGTGAATCTACTTAGGGAAGGAGATTTGGGGTTGAGGACTGGGGCTTTCCCTCCTGTGATTCCAAACTTTCCTGTGATAAGACGGTTTTAAGTTTTAATTACAGTGGTGTATAAATTGTCATCCTAAGGTTAAGTTCTCTTCGCACGAACAGGGCTCCCTTAGAGCCCCACCTGCCTTGCTTGCACCCACAACTGTTGTTGCTGTAAAACAAGCAGAGCAGAGGAAACACCCAGGACCCCTTAACGGGCCCATCTCTTGGCCTTCCGCCCGGCCCAGCGTGGCCAGCCAGCCCTCACGTGGCAGCAGGAAGCCTTCCTGGCTGAGAGCAAGGTCCCGCACTCTGATATACCCTGAGGGAAAGGTCATCTAAACACAAGCAGTGGAAAGTTATTAAAATACCAGCTCAGGTTCTGGATTCTTCCCATACTCACTCGGCTCTCCCAAGGCATCACATGTTTTCAGACGAGTCTCAGCTGAGCCAGGTTATTTCATACAACAAAAAAGGGAACTTTCTCAAGAGCATCAAAAGTCAAATTTAAGGGTCTTCAGGATGTGGACATACAAACACATGAAAGTCTAAAAACATCCTCAGCATGTACTTACTTCCCACAGCACATATGATGCTTGTCAGGCATTGCCAAGCCCAGGACAAGGACACAGTACTTCTCTGCCAGGTATTTCTGTGCTGCTTCTAACTTACTTAGAATCAATTCTATCTCTTTTTTCTCTGCAAAGCCTCTGAAAAGAAAAAGGATACTCTGGATTAATTTGGGCAAATGCCTATATCAATTAGCAAAAAGTCAGAAGTATAAACTATTTTGAAAGAAATACAAGTGAGTCAACACATCTCACTTACCCTTTCATTTAGTTCATCCCGGCAAATGGAGGTCCTCAAAGTCCTTTGATATTTATCACTGTAATCAGCATTTCAAGCTTACAGCGACTTTTCACATTTTTATAGATTCTTTATACTTTATGCCATGTATCCTTAATTTTATATATAGGCAGACCTGATTTATGTAGAACAGCTCAACTAACAAATTACCTATACTGGTTTCTGAGGCAACTAGCAGCCCACTTTCCTGCTGTTTTGCTAAAACAGACATGGAGATTCTTTCCTGCCTCAGCTACTCCTGGGTTCCTGTGTTACTACTAAGTTTAGCGGCTCAATATTTAAACTACTCAGCATTTGCCTATTCTCAGTTCTGTTTGCTGAAGAGGTATGTGTGTACCACTATTCTAGGGACTTTAGCATCGATTATAATAGCCTTGCTTCCCTGTGAAAACACACATCCAGCTCCAATTGAACTGCAATAAACTTTTAAAAGGCAAAATGTTATTAGGTTACTGCATGTCTGAAGCCCAATTTTAGAAGTTTCTGTAGTATAATATAGTACAACATATTGCTGACAATACATTCAATGATTGCTAGTGAAAAATAAAGTGGCATTAGCTTTTCTCTTTTAATTTTCAGGAAGATTGAAACCAAATGAAATGTACTCTAGCCCTCACGTGGCAGCAGGAAGCCTTCCTGGCTGAGAGCAAGGTCCCGCACTCTGATATACCCTGAGGGAAAGGTCATCTAAACACAAGCAGTGGAAAGTTATTAAAATACCAGCTCAGGTTCTGGATTCTTCCCATACTCACTTGGCTCTCCCAAGGCATCACATGTTTTCAGACGAGTCTCAGCTGAGCCAGGTTATTTCATACAACAAAAAAGGGAACTTTCTCAAGAGCATCAAAAGTCAAATTTAAGGGTCTTCAGGATGTGGACATACAAACACATGAAAGTCTAAAAACATCCTCAGCATGTACTTACTTCCCACAGCACATATGATGCTTGTCAGGCATTGCCAAGCCCAGGACAAGGACACAGTACTTCTCTGCCAGGTATTTCTGTGCTGCTTCTAACTTACTTAGAATCAATTCTATCTCTTTTTTCTCTGCAAAGCCTCTGAAAAGAAAAAGGATACTCTGGATTAATTTGGGCAAATGCCTATATCAATTAGCAAAAAGTCAGAAGTATAAACTATTTTGAAAGAAATACAAGTGAGTCAACACATCTCACTTACCCTTTCATTTAGTTCATCCCGGCAAATGGAGGTCCTCAAAGTCCTTTGATATTTATCACTGTAATCAGCATTTCAAGCTTACAGCGACTTTTCACATTTTTATAGATTCTTTATACTTTATGCCATGTATCCTTAATTTTATATATAGGCAGACCTGATTTATGTAGAACAGCTCAACTAACAAATTACCTATACTGGTTTCTGAGGCAACTAGCAGCCCACTTTCCTGCTGTTTTGCTAAAACAGACATGGAGATTCTTTCCTGCCTCAGCTACTCCTGGGTTCCTGTGTTACTACTAAGTTTAGCGGCTCAATATTTAAACTACTCAGCATTTGCCTATTCTCAGTTCTGTTTGCTGAAGAGGTATGTGTGTACCACTATTCTAGGGACTTTAGCATCGATTATAATAGCCTTGCTTCCCTGTGAAAACACACCTCCAGCTCCAATTGAACTGCAATAAACTTTTAAAAGGCAAAATGTTATTAGGTTACTGCATGTCTGAAGCCCAATTTTAGAAGTTTCTGTAGTATAATATAGTACAACATATTGCTGACAATACATTCAGTGATTGCTAGTGAAAAATAAAGTGGCATTAGCTTTTCTCTTTTAATTTTCAGGAAGATTGAAACCAAATGAAATGTACTCTAAACAATAGGGGCAAATTACTGCCCCTTCTGGTGTTAATCACTAGACTGACCACATGAGGATATGTTGTGGGGGAAAGGGGTGGGCTTATGTATAATATAGATGCTTCAAACACAGAACTTTATCCCGTGTGGTGAGAAGGCTTGTGAGTCACCGAAATAAAATGAGTTTCTGGAATTGATAAAGAGGGTTCCAACCTTAAATACCTAAATTTTATATAACCCAAACACATACCCTCACACACTTGCCAGTGGCCATCACCATGCCTGCCTCCCTGTTTCCTTCGGCAATCCTGACCCTTACCCTTCACCCCTACTTTGCCAGAGCTGCCAGTAGCTAATACTCTTCTTTTGCCATTGAAAACAAAATAAAACAAACTTCAACAATCAAGACATGCCTTGAAACCTTGAGGTCAATGGTTCTCAAGCTCTAAAATATCTAAAAATCACTAGGGTACTTGCTAAAAGTACAGATTCCCAATGCCAGCCCCCCTCTCCAAGATTCTGGTTCAGTAGGCCTGGGTAGAGTCTGACATTTAAAACAAACCCAGATATAGTCCTTTGGAAAAGAAGTTGATAATACAATTGATCATAAACTTTGATCCAATAATCTCTCCTGAAAATTTGTTCTTTTTAAAAAATTGCCCCAAATTATGGGGCAAACCTAATGAAGATTTATTATTTGTCTATCAGGAAAACTGGAAACTCCCCAAAATATAAAAATAGAGGAACAAAAGTAGTAGTAATATAGCCAGGGATATTTAAAAGCTTGACATTTATTAACCTAATATATGAGTCCACACAGATTTAAGCCAGGCACCCAAGTCTGTACCTTTACCCATTATACTATACTGTCCCTTAGTAGGTAAGTCAACAAGTCGATAACATACATCGGCTTGATGGAAAATTATGCCACCATTAAAAATTACAATTATGAAGATTAATAACTTGAAAAATACTTATGATATGATGTTTGAAAGTACAGACATTATTGTGCCTTTGTTCATAGTTGTAAATCCTAATGACAAATGGATGGACTCTAGAAAAGATGGCCTGATTGATTGGTAGTGGGTGATAGGCATACTGCACAGTGGTTTAGGCACAGGCTTTGGAGTTAGATCTGGACTCTAATCTCAGCCTCACCCCTAACTAGGCATGTAATCTCCAACCAGCTATTTAATCTCTCTGAGCCTTAACTTCCTCATATGTAAAATGGGGATAAGCCTCCTTCTTCTGGAATTAGGGCTTTTAGTTACCTAAACCATAAAGTTCCGATATCCTTCTACATCCCTTTCTGCTCTTCTCTCATAGATTGTAAGCTTTCCTCCCAGGTGCTAACCACTGGACAAGATACTAGAAATTGTCCACCCAATCTGGATGAAAACGCTGTAGACACCATCATTATCTGTTATACCTCACTAGTGCACTTAAATCAATTTCTTTTTAAAGTTATTTATATCCAGTTATCTCAATGCAATCTATATTTATATCTATTATAATAAGTAAATCAACTGACTACTAGAAACCTGAAAATGTAAAGTTACTATAATTTTTTAGAATTATAATAGAAGCATATAATTATGAGGCTTTTATTTTTCTTTGTCATTCTGCAACTGATTCCTCAATACAACTAAGTTTGTTAAACTTTTTTTCTCTGTTATTTATTAATAAGAACCAAGCAATGAAGCAAATGTCTCTGCTAGATTAGCAATAACCCTCACCCTCAGAATTAGAGAAGATGGGGCAAAATATAAGCTAATGTGCCAAAAGGTCTAAGAAGTTTCTTTTGGTAAATGGTAAGATTTCTGAAGCCTTCCGAGCCCAGAGTTGACTTGAGCTCTTTTGCTAGCCACCATAGAAACACTTCATGACCTCTGGCTGCTCTGTTGTCTAATGCAGCCCTGAAGTAACATGGAGGTTACATGTTATGATGGCTTTTCTGGAACAGCAGTGTTTGACTTATTTATTTGGTTCTTTACAAAACTGCTTTCCAGATGTATTTATCCATAAAATATTCTTCAAAGGGCTTGGTTGTTTACAAGGATTTTGCATTTTATAAACATTCTACAGCAACAATTTGGTGACTCTACCCAGCATTCCTAACAGCTAAATCACTGTACTAGGGAGGGCAGCCTGGGTGCTTGGAAAGTTCCATGGCTTGCAAAAGGTCACCAAGCCTGAGAGGCATTGTTCTGTTCTGGACACTGAGTTCCCAGATTCTTGCCCGGTATAGCTCTGAGCCACTTCTGCCTAAAGCAGTTAAATTTTTCATACATAGTCTAAGAAATCTTGTTTTCTTCTGTGATAGGGATTATCAGTTTGGTTGTATTTGTTAATTTTTTTAATTCTTAGTTTTTTCACTCAATGTTTACAAATGCCCTAGCAAGAACTTTGTAAGCATAAAAAGCACAGAAACAAGTTATATCTGCACTGTCCAATATGGTAGCCATCAGCCACATGTGGCTATTGAGTACTTACTGTGACTAGTCTGAATTCAGGTAAAGTGTAAGTGTAAAATAGACACCAAATTTCAAAGACTTATTACTAAAAAAAGGACAAACTATTTCATCAATAACTCCCAAATACTGACTATCTGTTGCAATGATTACATTTTTGAGTCATTGGATTAAATAAAATATATTATTAAAATTAATTTCACTGGTATTTTTTTATATTTTTAAAATATGGTTAGTAGAATATTTTAAATTACTTATATGGCTCTCATTATATCAGTATTGGGCAGTGCTGGGCTATATTATTTGGAATATTGTTACCAGAATACCCATCTGGATTAATCACTGATGAACTCAATTCAAAAAAAGACTACAGTGTGAGAAGTGAGGCAAAAATCTCCTCCCAAAACCACATATAAAATGAAAATACAGCAAATACAACTATTCCTAAAAGAGTAACCAGAAATAAGATTGCACCAGCCAGTTTACACCTGGGAAAAGAGAACATCTCATGGAAAAGGGTAAAGTAATAAAAACCATAACCCAGCGGGATCCAAGCCCTCCCCGACCCCAGCTCACCAGTGGAAGAGAAACAGAGCAGGGAGGGAGTAGAAGCCCAGGACTGCTAAATACCCAGCCCTAGAAATCTACTCTGGGAGCACAAACCCACATTGCACGGTGGGTTAGAGGGACTGAAAAGCAAAGTCAGAGGATGAGATTCCAGTCACTTGTGGAGAAGAGGTTACCAGAACCAGCTGCTCTGGGACAAAAGAAAGGTGGGTACTTTGAAAGACTTCCCAACAGTGAGAGGGCTGCTAAAGGGGCAAGGATTACACAGAGCTTGCTGCTCAGGAGTGGAAACAGGTGGGCAAAATCATCCTGGCACACTCAGCCCACCAGGTTGGGAACTTTCAGGAGCGTCAGGTGCTCCATACCCCTGGCTGCCAACACAGCCCCAAGGCCCCCTCACCATGATAAGCAACCTACCACTCCTTCCTCCTGGCCTGCACATCATGCGCGCAAACCTGCTACCCTGCCTTCACACCAGGCCAGCCAAAGGGCAGCCCCACTTATGGCAACTACACAGACTTAATGAAGAGGCTGCACCCTGAATGCACAGTTAACTGGCCCTGACAGTGGAGGCAGGCACTACAGCCAGGAAGCAGGAAAGAGCTCTGTCCTCCTGGGAGGCATGGGGCAGTTTGCCTGTGACCCCCACCATTGCTCCAGTCCAGCAGGATGGCAGCTCTGCCTACGGCAGCTTAGGGGCTGCTCCCTGCACACATGGCTCACTGGCCCTGACAGCAGAGGCAGGCACTGCAGCCAGGAAGCAGGAAAGAGCTCTGTCCTCCTGGCATGCAACCAACCACGCAGCTCACCTGTGAACCCCACCAATGCTCCAGGCCAGCAGGAGGGCAGTCTTGCCTATGTCAGCTTAGGGGCTTAACACAGATGCTGCTGCCAGCACACAGCTCACTGGCCCTGACAGTGGAGATGGGTACTGCAATTAGGAAGCAGGAAAGAGCTCTTTCTTTAGAACAGGCACTGGCACCACTCGACTGCAATCACCACTATCGCTCCAGGTCCTAGGCAGCTGTGAAGAGCAGAGCTTCTGGACACTACAGGGCACCACCCACACAAACCTAATAGTTCTCATTATCCAATAGGATTATGAAAATGCAGAAGAGCCTTAATACAAAATCCCTCAAACACCACGAAGAAGGCTCAGTGAAACTGAAATCACTGATCTTCCTGAAAAAAGAATTTCAAAATAAAAGGCATAA